GTCATCTGCATCAATCTTTCCCGTTCTATTTTCCCTGCAAACAGTTCAATGTCTCTCTCGAAGATTGATAAAAGCTGAGTTGTCTACTTCTTCCCTTCATGGAGGCAGTTTTTTATTGTATAATAATAATTAAAATGTAACCGTACATGCCGGCATGTCAAAAACCCTAGTGCCTTCTCGAAGTTGGCCGTTGCCCTTTTCTTATCCAGTTTGGTCAGAGTGGACACTACTTCTCGGGCCGAGCTAGTTCAGGTACCCACCCCTAACCCAGCAGCTAGTAGATGATGATGATGAAACACTCATGCAGTCAGCAGGGTACGTCGGACCCAGATTGGAAGTCAAATGTTAACCGTAGAAACGTTACGCTAGGCTAGCCGACCCCCACTTCCTCCCACAGCGTCACGTTGTCCCAAATTTCCTTCTTGAACGAAGTTGAGACCTAATTTCACTGCTGATGTTCTAGAAATTAGATATTCCTTCTAAAGTGTTAAGCGGCTCTGACGCCCGCACCACCCTGAACGGCAGCGTTACTCGGCCTCGATTCCAACCTCCGCTGAGAATTCTCCAACTAACCCTGTACCTAAAAGCATCAGGAAACACTCTACCAAAAATGTCCTGTCAATGCCGTTAATTTGTTACCAGTTTTCACTGTAGGTCAATTCACAGCGTTTACTGTGATCTGCTCACGCGATTCACTGTGTCTTGTTCACGGTGTTTACTGTGATCGGGTTTCACAGTAAACACTGAGTTTGACGCCGCTCAGCACCGAAGTGCTGCAAATCAGGCTCCAATTCACGGCGTTTACTGTGGCCAGATCACAGTGAACACTGTAACCAAATCACAGTGAACGCCGTGAACTAGTTCACAGCAAACGCCGTGAATTGCATAACAGCAAACATTGGTAAAAAATTTAAGGGCGTTGACAGGACTTTTTTTTGTAGAGTGAATCGATCAATCGATGTGCACTCACACTTTCATCCACTCAATAGCACTCACCTTCCTGGGAATCTGGAAAGTCGGTAATCCTGTCGTAGAGACCTGTCGCCAACGCTGACCAGGCATACAGGACATAGCCCCGTCCCTTTGAGCCCCTTGGTCTGAGCCCCGCCCTGAGCCCCAACCTAGCCCGGGTTGAGCCCCGATTTGAGCCCCGCCCCAAAGCCCCAATTTCCAGAGCCCGGATTGAGCCCCGACCTGAGCCCCGTTTGAGCCCCTTTTGGCCCCACTTGAGCCCATAGCAATAAATTATGAAAAAATGCTTGTTTTCAGGTCGGGGGGCTAAAATGGGGCTCAAAGGGGGCTCAAACGGGGCTCAGGTGGGGGCTCAACCCGGGCTCGGGAAAATTTGGGGGTTTGGGGTGGGGGCTCAAGTCGGGCTCAACCCGGGCTCAGGTTGGGGCTCAGGTGGGGGCTCAGACCATGGGGGCTAAAACGGGACGGGGCTCATGTCCTGTATGCCGCTGACCAGCCGCACAGGAGAAATGCAGGAGCAGCTAGGCGGAAGTTGGTTACACTGTGACTTCAGTGGAGAAAGGAAAAACTACTATTTAAAAAGCGTCAGATAAAAGATTGAAGAAGTAAACCAGCAGCAATCATTACGAACAGATAAAATAGGGTGCACGCGAAAGAGCTGCTCCGGTGGGGGAAGAAATATCAGGATCAAACGTCAGACTTTTGTAAAACATATCTACGGAAGCGAGAGTACGGGCTGAAGACGCCGAACTCGGAAATTTTGCGCACTTCGATTTGATTTTGTCTGTTTTCAAGGTAAAGCGATAGGATATTCCAAAGTATCTCGAAACGAGAGAACAGAAGTAGGCCCGTAAAGCAGCTTCTGCGCAGAAGCTGTTTTTAGGGACTTACTTTTGACCTTCTGCACTAAGATAACCCTTTTTTAAACTAAAACTATCAAACATAAACTATTTTAAACCTCACAAAGAAAAGTAGCTTGTTATAACAAAATATTTTGTGCATACATAGGGTCACAATGAAAAAACTTTGGAATTTATGAACTATTTCTTCGTACTACGAAGTAAATTAGTTAGTACTATGATGCTCAAAAAACTACGTATACGTAAGGTTTAAAACTTGTAACGTGTACCGTTTCGAGATTCATTGGGATACCCTAGGATTGGGCACGACTTTAAAAATGAACAGTTATACAGAAAAATGGTTCCTTTCTTTCGTTCTGTTCTTCGCTCTGCTTTTTAATATCGACTATTTTTTTATGCATTCTCAGGAAACATGACTAAAACTCAAGATGGTCGAATAGGGTACTTTCGTAGAATCCCGAACCGGAAGCAAGCAGACCAGCAGACGCCCAAAATTTGGGCCGGGAAACTAACCTCTCTTCGGATCCAAAAATATAGCCGAGCTGTACAAATATTGCTCGCGAAACACATATGCACTGCAAACAAGTATCAAACGACTGTTTTTTGTTCAAGTGTGGCCGATACCTTTTACGACGTCTCTTTCCCCCGTCAAGTTTGGATCAACTTCCGCTAACATGGCGTCTATGTGCTTCCGGCTCAGGGATCTACGAAAGTACCCTATTTTTTGCACGAATTCTTTTAAAATTTCTTTACGCTGACCGTCGTCTGCATATGCATCAGTACTAGTATCTGGACCGAGAGCCATAGAGTCGGAACTGCCCGACGACACTCGCAGAGAAAATTTGAGTCGCCGCGGTGAGACGATCGTCGATTCGTTTCTGCTCGCTCTCTTCGGAATCTGCCTGCAGCAGGCGTATGCCTGCAGAATTATTCGAAGAGTCGTTTTCGTCGTTATCTTTCTTGCACCCATGCGCGACGCCCTGTGAGTGCGAGAGACTGAATGTGTAACAGACCCCCGGAATCTGTCTGATGGTGGCGCCGCATGCAGCCTAGCCTCAGGGAACAGAAACAGGACCGCTTGAAAAAGCTAAAAAGACAAATTAGTTAAATTTGATCACCCCGTTTTTGGCACCCCCCATGACCCCTGTTTGACGTGGTATTTTCTGTCAAATTCGCATCTCAAGTTATCATTTTCTTTTTAAAGCGCACCGCGCACGCCAGTGACGTCACTGCCAGTGTTGTCGAGGGGCGCAGCACTCGTCAAATAAGAGATAGCGGCAGATAATCAGATTGAGTCATGCCCGCGGTGTTGAGTCGGGGCGAGGCTACCGCCCCCGGCGTTCCCACGCCCACGCACGGCGACCAGGTGCCACTCGCGCCTTCATTTACATGGGAGGGGGACGACAGTCAGGGCGCCAAAGCCGGAGAAATCTGACCTGACTGTCCCGAAAAAATTTTTTTTGGCGGACACGGGGGAAACAACTTAAATTTTTGGTGACCGTTTCCCCTTAAACGGGAAAAAACGCAAAATAGCACTGGGGGCAAAACATTTGAACTAAGTACACGAACGTTGAAATGGTTTGAATTATAACTAACGCAGAACCCGCAAGCACAGATAAAGGTCACCATGTTTGTGTCAAATGCATTTTACGGTGATGGCATCGTTCCGTGCCGACGGTTAAAGTTAGCGTTTGTTTGTTTTACGTCAATTGATATCCTTTTATTGAATAAGAGAATTTGTAATGTGAATTTGACACGAAATACGTAGCAAAATAAGGTCATGAGGGGTCATCAAGGGGGGCTGACTCCTTACTTCGAAAGCAAGCCCAATACCGTAAACTGGGGTAACTTCGGACATCCGGGGTAATTTCGGGCAGGCTCCGCTGCCAGCTCGCATAGAAATCTTACTAGGCCACCTCCCTCAGAAGTTACCTCAATCCATGAGGAAACTTCTGACGGGGATGGCTTAGTAAGATTTTTCGGTTGACGGTACACGAATAATACCTGTAATATAATAATCCATAATACTTTAAAAAAGCTGCATAAATAGTGTATTTTTAGCTTTAAAGTGACCGGTGAAATTGTAGCTCATTGAAGTTCAGCTATTTGGCTTCGCCCAACGAACTAAAAATAAAATAAAATGGCGGAGCCATATGGAGCGACACCCAGTGTGGACAGCGGGGTTTGCGAGTCGGGATGACGGGATCCCGTGGCAGGGTAGGCAACTTTTCTTGTGATGTCGCAAAAACGTTTGTCAGCAATAATCGAGAAAGTGCAAATAAATGAAACTGTATGAGCACTCAGAAAGTTGTGTCTGCTTTTTCTAAAATGTTCTGTACGTAAAAGCTGCTTTGAAAGGCGTAGAAACGGTTCGGAGTTCATACGAAATGTTGGTCAACCTGGTTTCATAAAGTATTAATGTCGGGTGCATTTGGAAGGAAAGGATGACCAATGTCGGGTGGACCAAACAATTCGAAAGAACAACAAATAGAACCAATGAATTGAATTGAATGTATTCCGACGCTGGCGTCATGAAGACGATTTAGAAGGCGAAGCCCTTGGAATGAATATTCCTAACTAGTTCTATTTTGAATGTAAGAGTTACAAAATAGCGCCAAAACGAATGACGGTGCTGAGGCTCTTCTTAAGCATGTACGATTTTGTTTTGGGGCTCCAAAAAACGCGAGCCTAAATGCTAGTTTCCGATTGCATTCATGTTACTGCTTCCGTTTTAAACTCCCTTACGTAATTGGGAAACTTTTTTTAATGATGGAAACCACGGAAAGTGACACAATTATCTAAACATAATACTTGAAATACCGATTATTTGTAATACATCGTACACGGTCAGGGGAGTCATACCCCGTTGAGGTCATTGATTCGGGGAGCGCGACAAAATGTTATCAATTGTAGCTCACTGGACGTCGACGTGACCTTTTCTTATTCCCTATGGGACGCAACTATTTATAGCGACGGAGGGGGAAATCCCGCGCTAAACGGACAAACCAAGGCAAAACCCGGGCGGCTCCGGCTCCGCCGCCGAAACCCAGCGCGCCAACTTTTCAGAGACGTCGCCGTCATCGCCTTGCCGGTGGGAGAGGAGGGGGGGGGGCCCTCTGTGGCGTGGCGGTGGGCCTTGTCTCGCAAGAGCCTGTTGTGGCCGTTCAGTTATTCGCGAGCTCAAGTGGGCACGGTGTGCGCGAGAGTGAGTGTGAACAGAACCATCCGCGCGGCGACTGCTACGCGGCGCTGCGGCCGCGACTCAGAGCGCACCGCGCAGTGAGTCATTGGCTGAGCGATAGCGAAGCCTGTTACTCCAGTGGGGTTGAAAAGTTTTTCATGTCTGTCTGTCTGTCTGTCTGTCTGTGTGCACTACTCCTCCTGAACGGCTTAGCCGATCTCGGTGAGATTTGCACACTTCTTGGGTATGTCCTTGGCTCGGCACACGCGAAATTTCACCATCCTAGCTCTACTGGTTCAGTTTTATAGCCGAAAACACCTAAAAAACGGCGAAAATAGCTTTCTGCAGAGAGATCACTCCGGCTTGGAGAAAGGGGGGTCTGGGGGCGGAGCCCCCCAGCCTCGACAATTAAAATGCAAGGTCAAGATCGTGTTATCTATAGATCAAACACTCTTTTTAGAATGTAGGGGGGGGGGGCGGAGCCCCCCACCATTCACAAGTTAAATAACCGACAATGGACAAGCCATTGCCTGCCGCAGGCAGTCTAGCGCCGCAGGCCAAGGTAGGTACGCCAGGCGTGGATTGGAGGAACAGAGCACGAACATCGCGCGGCCTGTTACGACAAGACGCTGTCTGGCGTAAACCTACCTGTTACTTAATTAAAATCCGATTCGCAGTAATGTGTCAGCGAGTCAGCATCATTACTTTAATAAAGTCAAATTCGGAGTAATGTGCTCCTTATCTGCGCGGTTCGTGACGAGGACTTGACTGCCCCCCGAGGCCCTGCTTGGCGTGCCGGCAGTCGAGGACCCCCGGCCCTCGTCGCCACAACACTGCACAACACGCGCCACCAGAGGTACGTTGCTTCGCTTGCTCCGCTCTGCCGAGGCGCGACTTCGCGGGGCAGGGGGGCGGGCGTTGACTGTCTGGTTCAAGGCTGAAGGACACTGTCAACAATGCCAAATTCTGTGCAAAGCTTATGCACGAAAAAAAAAAAATATTAAATTAGTGTGCGAGGGCGCTCTCAAGAGGGAGCTCTCAGAAAATTGGAGACTCTTGCTCTTTTTCAACGTGTGAGTGCACAGAGAATGAGCTAATCGGTACACATGATGAGTACATTTGTGATTCAACCCTCCACTCTCATAAGGACAAACCGAAGCATGTTGGGCAACATATGGATGAGTACAGTCTCCTCATTCTGAAAGCTTTACCAACTATTTTTGGTCTTGATGAGCTAGTTATAACTAAGTATTTTGAGCATACATGAGCTTAGAAAGAAAATGTTTCGTAATTTACGAACTATTTCTACGTGTAACAAACTAAATAGTTTGTGCCTCGAAATACTTCGTAAGGTTTTAAGCGTAGTGGGAGGTCACGCGCTGAAGACATACCTTCACACTATTCGTATTTCGAAGCGATTCTTCATAGAATTTTTACTCTGTGTGTGTGTGGGGGGGGGGCGGTCGGTCAAGTTCAAGGCTGACGACACTGTGAAAACAAGTGCCCCACCAAGTGATCGGCGCGCTGCCGCGGCGATGCATGTGACTTTGACGCGGCTTGCCGAGGCGCTTCCCTTTATTACCACTTCCTGTCCGCACAAAAGGTGTTCGCCTGTCGGCGGCGTCGCCCAAGTCGTCCGTGCCGGCCTGGTGTGCCGACGCATCCACGGCCAGGTTGATGCTGTCATGTTGCTGCGGTGGCGAACCCAGAGCCGGTCTGAGGGTTGACTCATGTGGCCCGTCCGCAGTGTTCTCACAAGTTGAAAAATTCGTTAGTTTTTAGTAAGATTTGGTGTTTTGCATTGTCCGAAACAGCGATTCCCAGATACTTCCTGGCAAAACCAAGGAACCCGGCCTTCTTCTTACAGGGGAAAAGTATTACTGTATGTTTTGCCCGCGTTGAAGGCGTCTGTCTCGAATGGTCAAGAGGCGCCATTGTCACACACACACACACACATTGCACACACACGCACACTCCCAACCTCTGGATCCGCACTTGTGTTGGCGGCACTGCAGCGTCCGGCAGTGGGTCACCGTGACCCACTGTCCTGCAGCCGCCCGTCTGCCTGCGGTCTCGGTGTTGATGTGTCGCGGCGTCTTGCGTGACCACGCCGAAGGCCTTAAAAGAGAGAGAGGAGAGAAGGGGGGGGGGGGGCCTCAGCAAGCTCGTCGGTGTCAATAGAGCATTCAGGTCTTCTGGAGTAGCGCTTCGAAGTCTCCACTCTCGCAAGTGAGAGACACCAATGTATCACACCTGAAAGTGAGAGACACGGGCTCTGCCACACTTTTTGTACGTAGTGGCCCTGAGGTTCAATGACTCCAGGTGTGATGTAACTCACACTTGTAGGCGCACGGTAAAAACGGTTCCTGGTTTTCCCAGGAACTCCCTGGAAATCGCCTATGTTTCTAACCATAGGGTTCCTGGAAAAACCAGGTACCGTTTTTACCGTGCGTGAGACATTTTGGCTCACGTCAAATAGTGTGAGACTGTCTCACACTTGATTTTGCAGGGAAGTTACAGTTTCAGTTTGCACTTCCCAGTTATAATTTACCATTTCCTCGTTTCAAGGTTGCCAACATGATGCCCAGCGCCACCTTGGTGCTTCTGGCCGCCCTGCTGGGGTGCGCCTGCGCGGCCACGGACTACTGCATGTCCCAGGACCAGAACCCGTTCGCCCGTTTCGGCACCCGAGCGCCCTACGAGGTGTCCGGGGCCAACCTGGACCCCGCGCCGCGTCGGCTGCCCGGTAAGCCTGCATATTCTTACGGAAAGGAGCATGCGTATAATTGCACATATTTATGCATATATTTAGAAAAATTTGTATTTATGAATATAACTAAGTTCCAAACTTTGATCGAGTCTTCACTGGTAGAACTGATGCGTACTTTTACCCCTTTTTTTTTTTTGGCGTAGTGGTTGCTACGCTCGGCTTCGAGAGTTCTTCTTCGTTTTGCCCCTCTCCCGCCTGTCTTTAGCCACGCTTGGCTTCAAGCGTGAAGTCTTCAAGCGCAGTTGCACGACCCCTTTCCCCCAACTAAATACACGGGGAGTATTGCCTTGAAGCGTCCTGCACGCTTCATGAGACGTACTTAGCACGCTTCAGGAGGAGCGTACACTCTCAGCACGTACTGACTTTTTGCTCTTATTGTCAGTATACTTATGCAAGTAATTTATGCAACCATAATACGTTCTTTCTCTTTTTTAAATAACTACTTAGGAAATAATAATTAATGTACTGACAATTTAGTTTTGTACATAATTTGACAAAGGAAATTGGTACTTCGAAAATACTAAGTATTACTGTTGCTTACACGAATACGTAATTAATGATAAAAAAGTCAGTAACGTGCTGAGAGTGTACAAGTCTTCAAGCGTATTTGTTACGCTTCAATGGGGCGTTCAACTACGCTTCAATTTCGCTAGTCTAGTTTTGCTTGGAAAATAAATGATTGAATATTTAATTTCTCAAAGTAGTTGCCTATAAAGGGGGCTGACTGATTGTTGAGGGGCATTGGATGTGAATAACCTATTAATGGCTTATTCACATCCAATGCCCCTCAACAATTAGTCCCCTCTATAAGCAACTACTTTGAGAAATTAAATCTTCAATCATTTCTTCAGGGTGAAAAAAAAATGTCTCTTTTCCGTGGTGTTTTAATGTTCTTTCACTTTGATGAGCTCTGACTTGGCTCTGTGTGGACCCTGACACCTCTCTGTCGGCAACGGATATAGCTAGAAAGGCAGGGTAATCTGAGCGACGAAACAAAGCCAACGGTGCCTGTTTCGAGCGAATTGGAGAAGTTTGGACCCGGGTTCAAATCCCAGTGGCGGTATATTACGACAATTTTTTTTATTGCAGTTTTTGCGTTGTTTCTCATGCTTTTCAGGGCGCTGATGAAAATTAAACCAATTTGGACTCCCGACCTAGGTTTAATTCCCGTTAGGGTTAAACACAGGCGAAATTAGCACATCTCTTAACGTACGGGACGGGCCAAAGTTGCGGATGTGTATCGCTACTTTTCCTGTTATTGTTATGTAAAGAACCACTCATAAAGTGACACTAAATAATTATTTTAGAGAATGATTTATCGAAGTAAATCAGTCATAATTACTTGAAAGCTTCTATGTAAACATCGTCGCTTGAACGAATTCGTATACTGTTAGTGGCTGTGACAGACGCGCTGACGTTGGCGCCGGGCCACTGGCCGCGCACGAGTCGACGCCTCGCCTGGCATGAATATTGATCCTGTGTCGCCAGGTTGTAAGCCGGTCCACCTGTGGCTCCTGGGGCGGCACGGCACGCGTCACGGCAGGGAGGCCGACATCGAGCTGATCCACCGGCTGCCCAAGCTGCAGAACCAGATCCGCGGCAACAAGGAGGCGGGCCGTAAGTTGCCCAAAATTCAGTTGGAAACGTTCCACGGATTTGCAACTCTATGATGAGAAAGGTTACCATCTACACCAATACACGGCTGAACCGGAGTCTGGTTCTCACTCTCAAAACCGTAACCATTTTAGGCCTACAAACAAAATTATGACAAAGTATTCTGAGTACAATAAGCCTACAAAGAAAATAATTCGTAATAAATGACTTCAGTCTTCGCATGAATTTAATTTGTATCTTACATATGCTCAAAACACACAGGAGGTTGCGACTTTATCTCGGAGGGCTCTGACCCATAGTGAGTTTTCAAAATTGCCCGAACTGACTTTACTTAACATGAATGGATTTGTAAATACATTCGACAAGATCAACAAAAAACTACTTACGCAATAAGAAATTATTTGATTTTCAAAATTACTTAGTTTTGCACTACGCGGAAAATACAATGTTTTGGAGCTCTAAAACATTCCATTTTTTCGTTTCCTGTCCTATGAAATATGTTCACTTGTTTTGTTCTTATGTTCAGGAGAATCCCTCTGTTGAGCAAAGTCCGTTCGGACAAATTTGAAAATTCACCGTAAGTTTCCAGGAACTGTAACGGAAAAATTCACAAACTCCTGGGAAAACCAGACTCCTTTTTTGCCGTGTACGATCAAAAATATTAATTTTGTAATTGTTTTTTTCCGTTTCCATGTTTTTTTTCCTTAAGGCACTGTCAAGCTGTGTGAAGAGGACTTGTACAACATCGTCTCCTGGATCCCAGGCGTCGACAAGTCCATGGCGTACGCGCTGACGGTTCAGGGCCAGATGGACTTGCAGACAATGGGGGAGCGGTACCGGTTGAGGTACCCAGAGCTGTTCGACAACAGCGCTGCCTCCAACTTCAAGGTGCGTGAGGTTCGAGGGACTGCCCAATCCAGGGATTGGGTCCGGGAATCGGTCCGGGAATCCAACCCACACTGGTGGAACTGAAGCATTCTTTTCCGCCTCGGCTTCAAGCGTAGTTTCGTTCCGCCCGTCCATCTAAAGGCATGGGAGCATTTCTTCCCTGCGCTTGACTTCAAGCGCAATTGTATGCTTGGATGAAGCGTAAGCGTAAAGTCTTCAAGCGTAGTTGTGTACGTGGGTTACGCGTACAACTGCGCTGCAATTTCACTAGAGCGCCCAAGTCTTTTCAAATTTAATAAAATACCCTCCAAGTTTTGATACGGGCATGGTACTCTGCTGATTGCTACAAAATTATTCTTAATCACAGGAACATGTCCAAAAATGGTAATTTTTCTCGTGAAATGGGTTAAAGAATCGAGGGAATCCGCAATCGCGTGTGCATCAAAGTCTATCGAGTGGATAAGCCCTCAGTGTGATGTTGGGTGTCTGTGGCTACCGTTGCAGTTCAAATACGATGAGACCCCACGCTGCCAGGACAGCTCCAAGTGGTTCTACAGGGGGATCTTCGGGAACTTCCCTGCGAGCGGCGAGGGCAGCGTAGACGGGTTGGCCGACGTGAGTATCCGACGAAAGTGGGCCAGAAGACCGGTGGAGGCACTACCTGGTACGCGTTTTGAGCTCTAGAGTCGCTTCATGGGACTAGAACCTAACGTGAGACCCCACCAATGGATTGCTCTTCGAACGAGGAATCCATTGGCAGGGTCACACGCTCGGTTAGTCCTGTTAAACGAGAGCACAAACCGCGTGTAGAGTTTTGGCCGTTGGCGCCCTGATAAAACAAAGTCATCCTTTGAAAGGCATAACTTTGCCGCGATGGCCTTAAGGGCGTGGTTTGGACTCCTTTATTTCGCCACTGCGAATAGGCTGCTAATTTAGTACTCGCTATTTTTTTTTTGCAGTTCTACAACAGGTGCCCAGCCTACCTGGTCCCGATCGGCACGGACTTCGTTATCGGCGATTTCAACAAGTTCAAGAAGGGCGCCGAGTTCTCAGACATGGTCCGTAGGGTGAGCAGCAGGCTCGGCTTCTACCACAACCTGGACGTCGGTGGGTGCTCAAACAGTTTATTTTGCACGGCAAAAACCGTTCCTGGTTGTACCAGGAACTCTCATGAAATCGCCCATGTCCTCTAGTCTACCTTGAAAAAGCAAGAACCGTTTTTGCCGCGCGCCCGCCACTATGAATAGAAACAGAAGCAACACTATGTCGGAGGATGCATGCTGTGCAGCATGTCCACAGGTTGGCTGGAAAAGTCGTCAAATCACCTCGCTCCTCGAAGGCCAGCACATTGTAAAAAATTGTTGTCATTTTATGACAGTTGTCACATTAATGGCTTGTGCTTTTCATGCCGCTTTTCACGTGATGCAGTTAGGATAGTTCTGAATCGTTCTGAATTGACACTAACATTTAAGATTGTCTTGGATCCACTCAGGCAGTTGGGACTATTCTATTAGGACGCGTCGATTTTACGTTCAAAAGTACAGAATTTTTTTCACAGTGGATGTCGATACTTGGGGAGTTGCAACTGTCCGCCGCTGAATTCGTACGACATTTTACAGAGGACGTCGACGCCATGTACACGGCCTGCAGCTTCGAGCTCGCGCGCAACTGGTCAACCGGCAAGGCGTCCCCCTGGTGCGCCGTGTTCCGAGACGAAGACTTTGAGGTGCGTCCTGCACTGAAAAATGACTTTGCCATTGGATGAAACAACACTGAAAAATCAAACGTGGTCCAGACAAGTGGTTAGATAGGTTTTCAACTGCAGCAGTATCAGTTTGTGTCGGTTGGTGTGGTCTCGACCACGTTTGGTGTTGTCTTTCCGTGCAATGACCTCACCAAATGTGGTCTAGATCACACCAACTGATGCAGCCAAAATGGCACCTATTTGACCGCATCAGTTGGTGCAGTCTAGGCCACGTTTGGTTTTTCAGTGAAGAAGCAAAGAACATCAATAGAGTAATACCAATTGAAATCGATTTTAAAGACGTCTCAAGACGAATAAATCCATTAATTTAGACAACTTTGAAAATTCACTCTTAGAAATAAAAACAGGGCGTTATCTCGGATTCCGAAGCAGCACTTTTACCGCCTGCGTCCTGCCTGCGGCTGTGGCCTGGCCTCAGCAGCGGATCCTTACTCTAAAAAGACGTTTCTTGGACTTGTGGACCTGGTTGGGCCCCTACCGCCAAGACTATTAAAAGTGACTTGCAATGAGTGAACTTGCTTGAAACATTCAAATTCAATGAGTGAACTTACTTGAAAAATCCGAATAAAGTCATTGAGAGTGTACTACTTGAAACATTCGAGTAAATTCATTGAGAGAGGACTTACTTGAAACATTAAAGGAAATTCAGTCACAATACACAATTATTATCTTGGTTCAAGAAACAGCTTTAGCGGGTCCCACTTGTGTGGCATTCGTAAATAACAGCGCATCTACAATGGGATTCCCTATGAAGATACGCTGTTATGTCAGATGATCGCTCACATATGAGTCGTGTTGCAGGTGCTGGAGTACTGGTACGACATGAAGGAGTACTACCGCACGGGCTACGGCCACAAGGTGCACGAGAAGCTGGGCTGCGTCCCCGTCAAGGACCTCGTCAAGTCGCTCTCGAAGCGCGTGGAGACGATCGGCGCCACCGCGCCGACCGGGCTGGTGTACCACTCGCACGACACGCTGCTCAACCAGGTGGTGGCCTTCCTGGACCTGTACCGCGACGACGCCAAGCTGCGCGAGAACACCTTCGCCTCCATGCGCGACCGCAAGTGGCGGGTCACGCGGTTCAGCCCGTTCGCGTCCAACCTGCACGCCGTGCTGCACGAGTGAGTACACTGCAAGATAAAGTTGTGAATAGTACAACATAAGTATAATGAAACCTGTGAACGAAAAGTACAACGAGGATTCTAAAAAGTAGAGGCCTAGACTGGACTGCACTCGTCATGCCGGTTCCATTGTAACTTGTGCAACGATTGTTGTAATTTGATAGTCCCTTTTTTGTCCTAATGAGAAACTTGCCAGGAATTTTCTGTAGGTTTGTTCTGGTTTTCTCTGGTAGTTTATACTGCAATCCTATGAAACTGGGAAGTTTCCTTGTCACTGCTGTTTTGAATGCCACATTTTGGCACTCCAGCGGCCTGGGACCTCACATTTTGCACACTTGATTACTAAGTACTTCTTGGTGCATAAGCTTCGTACAAAATTGAGCATACGTTTTGAAATGCACGAGTGCGTAAGTAATCACGAAAGTGTGCATAAAATTCGTGCATATCGAAACGTATGCTCAACTTTGTGCGAAGCTCATGCACCAAAAAGTATATTGTAATTAAGTGTGCAAAATTTGGCGTCCCAGGCCGCTGGAGTGCCAAAATGTGGCATTCAAAACAGCAGCGATAAGGAAACTTCCCGATTTGATAGCATTGCAGTATACACTGCTACACGTGTACAAGACGTGGACAAGTACCTGGTTATTAGTGCGAGGCACAAATCCAAGTTCCACGCACGCTAAAATTCCAACGGAATTTTTGTCCTTAACTGTTACTATATTTGTGCATAAGTAAGTAATGTTCGAATTTGTACGTAAATAAGGCACTATTGCCTTAAGGGGGGACCCTGGTGAAAAGTGGCCAAAACTGCCAAAAATAGTATTTTTGAAGTACATAGATAAAAATGTGCATCGAAGTTTCAAAATTCAACAGTAAGACCTTTAACTATGTGGGGTTCCTTTATCATTTGGAAAGAAATACATTGAGATCAGTTGTCGTTGGCTTATACGCTCCACTCACAGCTTGCTCAGTCGACAAAATTTTGTCGTAGAAAGACTTCCTGCGTTCCTGGTTGACACCTACATGAGTCGTCTTGCATGGACTCTATTCATTGATGACTTGTCGACAATTTTAGTGACGGAATCTTGATATCAGCCCTACTTTTTAACACACACCTAAAAGTTTCAAAAAAAGGCAAAAAATTCACTTGTTTTAATGTTAAATTGAAAATCGATATCTCAGGACAGAAGTTGAATTGAAAATTCCGTCACTAAAATCTCTTCTATACATCTTAAGGATGACCCAAAAAAATTTTCAAGACTTTGCGTTCCAATGAAAGACGCAGGAAGATTTCCCAACGCTCTAAAAAACACTAAAAAGCCCTTTTCTCAGAGAACATTCAACATTTTGGATTGAATTTTGTTTTATGAACTCACATATGAACCTAATAATCAAGCAAAGTTTTCAACTTTCTGGGATTATTTTAAAGCCTACTTGAAAGTTTCAACAGGTTCCCCCCTTAAACACTTAAGCTTGATGTGAAAATATTGTCCCTACATAAATTGTACATAGCTTCCGTTTGCACAAATATGGCACTACACTGGTAGCCGACGAATGTGACGTCATATTCGTTCGAATGTGAATTTTGTCACGTTCGTTTGAATATGATGTCACATTCGTTTGAATGACCAAGTCACGTTCAAAAGAATGTGACACCACATTCAAACGAACGTGACAAAATTCACACTGCAACGAATGTGACGTCACATCCGTCGCCTACTTGTGTAGATATAGACATTAAAAGTACATAAACATCTATACTCTGACCAAAACACGAAGAGCCATGAGTTCTCGCGGTTTATGGCATCTGCCGCCTTGGATAGCATTGCAGTAAGCCCTCGACCGCGAGAACCCAGGGCTCTTCGTTTTCTGGTCAGAGTATAGTGTGCGGATTGGATGGAATCCTTGTCCGTACATACAGAGCTCTCTTAAACCGTGGACGGCTTCACACCTTCCACACGCAGTGATGTTGTAGTGTGGCCATAGCATTGTGTGTGCAGGTGCGAGGCCGGGGAGCGTCACCGCGTCCAGATGTTCCTCAACGAGAACCTGCTGCCGCTGGCGGACTGGGGCTGCGACGCCGACTCGTGCACGTGGGCGCAGTTCATGGCCAAGTTCGGCCACGTGCTCACCGACTGCAAGCAGCGCCGCCTGTGCTGGAAGGTCTAGTGTGCCTCCCGGAGCATTGCGACCAACTCGAAATAAAAATGCGCTTTCTGGAAGTGGAGTTTGTGTTTACACTCTCTGCAGGGTAAAAGAGTCTACGGAAGCATCGCTCTGTACATTAAAAATCCAAAGGAGGGTAATTCCACGCAAGACCATCGCACCCCCTAAAATCCGTGGTGATGGAATGGGCCAAAATACACTCCCAACAAAAATAAGCGAAACAATTTTAGTCCTCGTAATATCTTCTAAGTCTTTCGAGCTTGGAGGTTGAAATTTGGTACACGGGTGCCCCCACTACTCAACAGTAAATGACAACATAAGTGAGAAACAAGTTTCGGACTCGGAGTCTTTGCCAAAAAGAACGTTTGTGACTTAAAATACATTATTTTTTCAATTCACGAATGCACCATCTGACTCTTTGGCCACATTGGCATCAAACGACCCTAAGAGGGTGCTCTAATGTAAGCTAAATTTTAGTAAGGATGGCAATCCGTAAACACAAGAGATATTGTCAAAACACGCTAAGTTACCTCAGTGTCCCCTAAAATTGACTAAATAGGACTGTCCTTGCGTTGAAATGTTATTCTGTTCTGTCCTAACACTCTGGAACCATTTCGAGGTGAACGTCAGCATTACAAGAATGTAGGCATTACCCAGCAAGAAAACGAAAGCCTCAACTCTTCTAATGCTGACCTTCACCTCGAAATGGTTCCCGAGTGTCAAGACAGACACTAGGATAACATTTTAATTCACGGGACCAATAGAGGTGTCATTTAGTCAATTTTTGGGGAAACACGAAGAAAACTCTTAGGGCTTATCGACGATATCTCTGGTGTTTACACTGTGAAAACGGTTCCTGGTTTTCCCAGGAACTCCCTGGAAATCGCTTAGGTCTCTACCATAGGCTTCCTGGGGAAACGAGGTACCGTTTTTACCGTGTAGGGTTGCGCCATCCCCAATATTTTGCCGACAGTTAGAGTACCCTCTCAGGGTCATTTGATGCCAATACGGCCAAAAAGTAAGATGGCGTATTAAGGAAATTCAAAACATGGTGAATTTTTTTAAAATAAAAAACGTTCTTTTTGGCAAAGGCTGTGGGTCCAAAACTTGTTTCTCACTACATAATGTTGCCATTCACTGTTTCACCTATTTGAGCGCCTTAAGACACAATTTTAAAGCAACTTTTAAAAAAAGTTTTGAAATTTTACTTGAAAGTTCAAAAAATCACCACGGCCAAAATTCTTCTTTTAAACAAAATATGGGAGATTTCCTTGGGTGGTAGGCTACGATTGAAGAAATTGGTAGCCGGATATGAGCAAGCACGTTTTGGACCATGATGGTTTGACGTGGAACGCCCCGGCCCCAAACAGCAACGACAGTTGAATACACCGAATATTACGGAGAGGTTATGGTTTGAGCTCGATCCGGGGTGACTTCGACACGCTTCAAACCGACAGGCGATCGTCATTTCATCACAGAGTATGGAAAACCGCTCGTGACGTTTCAAGGGGCTAGAGCCCTAAGGCCCCTTGGGGAGAGCTGCCAACTTCAGAAGTGTTACGTTTGTAAGCCGTAACGGGCTTCGCTATTGCTTAGCCAGTGATTACACTTTCATCCCAGGAACTTGACATCACGTTGAAACGAACGTGACAAAGCATCACGTTCGTTTCAACATTGTGTCACATTCGTTTGGATGTGCATCGGCCAAAAGTTAGCTTGTTCAAATTCAAACGATTGTGACGCAATGCTCAAACCGGCTCAAACGAACGTGACATTTTGTCACGTTCATTTCAAGGTGATGTCACGTTCCTGAAATAAGACTGTAAACCGGACTAAACATGCCCCAGAAAGAAAAGTTCCATTTCTTTTTTTTTAAATTTGTGACTTGCTTACGCGTACGAAATTGCCCAGAGGCAGGCTGAGACATGCCGTTACGTACCCACTTCGCGACTGATCGTCTCGTCCCCACGCTGGAACTCAGACAGACACGGCAAAAAGTTTGTCGTGTTTTACAAGGACCGGTCACCTCAGCTAAGGGTCTTGGCCCCTGGTCCTTAGCAAGAACCGTCTGGCTAAGGTAGCTCCTTAGCCAAGCGTTTGTTTACATGTCGGCCATGGCCTATAACCTAATTACACTGATGCTTCACGCTCGACAGACGAATTTAACCAAGCAAAGGTAATTAAATTTCATAAAATACTAAGGTAAAATGTGCGATTTTTCCATTTCGAATGTTTTTTTGTCTCTGGTTGACCTGGTTCATCCACGTCCGGGAAATATGTGGTCGGCTGAGGAGCGCCGTAGCGTGAACGTTATCCAAATTTCATTCAGCAATCCTTCCTTCTTTTCGAAAAGCGAGTACACACTAAATTACTATTTTCAGCGCGCCAATGCACGAAATTAAACATGCACTTCGTAACGCGCGAATTTAAGCGCGAAAATGCACGATTTCGTGCGCAACAATGCAGAAAATCGTGCATTTTCGCGCACAAATTCGTGCGTTACGAAGTGCATGTTTAATTTCGTGCATTGGCGCGCAGAAAAACGTACATAGTAATTTAGTGTGTACAGAATTGGGTTCAGCGTTAAAGTTCACGTGAAAAAACATGTTACGTTGTGTTTTCTCAGTTTATTTTCTGAATTCCTACAATTGGCAAATGTGAGGTTATATATGGCGGACGTGAAATCGACGCGCTGGGCTAGTTTGGCTAAGGAGCTACCATAGCCGGAGGCGTCCTCCTAAGAACTAGGAGCCAAGACCCTTAGCTGAGGTGACCGGTCCTTGTAAAACACGACAAAGTTTTTACCGTGGACGGCCCAATCGATGATGGCATCGGGCGTGGACGGGGTGTTGATGTCCAAGCGCGAGATATGTCAAGTCAGCCGCGTGATGAGCATGACTGCGATGATGCACGCTCGCATCGCCCATGCCACTCTACGAACTCTGCTGAGCATTGGCCACCAATAAGAAATTCAGCACTTCGTATTACACTCCCAAGATCCTACTGACCATTTTATTCGTTACACTCGTGTAAATTATGTCAGGATGTCCGAAACAAGTCTGAAATCCTGATCAAAATTCGCGCACCTCTGAATGCTGAAATTAAGATAAGCGATAGCGAAGCCCGTTACTCGGGTGGGGTTGAAATGTTTTGTCTGTCTGTGTGTCCGGACTTCTCCTCCTGAACGGCTCGGCCGATTCGGCTGAGATTTTGCATGGTCATTTGGTGTGTTCTTGGCTCACCACACACTAAAATTAAGCTTTGTAACTCAATTCCTCTATTTATAGTAAGCAAAAAACGCCTCAAAAACGGCAGAAAAGGGGCAAGGTTCACTTGAGCGGGAGGAGGATTTCGGCCACAAGTGGTGCTAGCACGCCACTTAAGGGTATTTTTGGAATCAGGGCGACCAGACAAATTCAATGGACCTGGTTCCGACAATATCGGCCGCTTCTACGAGATGGCCAGATCAGGATCTTGGTAGGGTCGACCGATTGAATTTTTTTTTTTTTTGGCGGCTTTCGATGTTAAAACCTTCACACCGAGGGGTCGGAAGGGGGATCCAGGAGCCCGACTTCGGCAGTTGGCTGGTTCAGGATCTTGGAAAAAATGGGTCGACCTACTGAAAAATTTTTTTGAGGCTCTCGATAACTCTCGGCAAGACCTTTTCAACGAGGGGTCGGAAAGGGGGCCCAGGAACCCAACTTTTTCCCTTGTGGCAATAGGTGCCACGGACTCGTTTTGCGCTATTGCAGGGCCTCGGTTGCAATGAGTTGCAGTTGCAAGACAGATATGGGTATTTTCGATCATGATCCATATTTGAGTTTTGCATCACGGAGTGCTCCACTCATTGCTTTAACATAAATTTCTGTGACAGTTTGCCGAAGGCAAAGCATGAAGCGCCGCAGGACAAGGTAGGCGTGAACTGCAGGCGTGGATTGTCGGAACTGGTGCAGCATCGTTAAGTCTGTTACGACAAGCCATTGTCTGGCGTACACCTGCGTACACCCACCTAGGTACTTCACTCACTTATGACTGGGTTGGAGAGGTGTTGCCTCGTTTGATGTACGCCGTCAGGCACACCTTGCTTTCGGACTTCTAATTTCTTTCAGTTCTCTCTTCTTTATTCCGATTTTTGTCTCGTGCCTGGCTTTGAGCCTGTCCTCTTTCTCTCTCTCTCTTCTTTGTAGATTCCTGCTGTCGTGGTGACATTCACTGGCTGCATGATTGAGCTTTTTGCAGTTAGGACAGAATTTCTTGAATCTATGGCGCGCTATGGCGGCATTGTTCATCAGTATAATTAGTTCTCCTACAATATTTACAGGTTTTTTTTTTTGAGCGACAGTCTTTAGCTAGATGACCTTTCGTGCATTTGTTGCAGACAATTTTGCTCTTGGAACTGTATTGGGTAACATTAAAAGCGGATGGTTTAACTTCTTCCTGGAAGGAATCCATCTTCCCCTCTTCTATTTGGAGTCTAGCACACAGATTATCTCGAGTCTTTTCGGTATGCGCCATGGAGTCGGCTGTACACAGAGCTCCGCATTTTTTTGGGATTATACTGCTTATTTTATTAAGTACTGCTGTGTCATAAATCTCATGACCGGGACTGTTAAGCTGGTATGCAATCTGTTGGATTGAGCTGATGTTCTCTAGGACTCTTGCTCTTTCCCCATTTGTAAGCATAAAGTTGATCCAGGAAGCGGAAGAAGGGGATAACTCCATTTTGACCAGTTTTTAGGAGCAACAAAAAACTTTAAGCAGGGGAATCTAAAACTGAACAATGGAATGTTATAGATGATAACAAGTTAAAAAAACGTAAGTTAAATTTTGAGATAAACATCAGGAGTGTCAAGTCACTGCGTATAGGATATCTGTGACTTATCACTTTCCGCTGAAATGGAAATCTCAACTTATATTTCTTAAACGAAGTGGAATAGGGTACTTTCGTAGATCCCTGAACCGGAAGCACACAGACGCCATGTTGGCGGAAGTAGATCCAAACTTGACATGGGAAAGAGACGTTCGTCAAAGGTATCGGCCACACTTGAACATAAAC